GTGGTAAACTGATCTTGCGTGCTGGGAATGAACATGCTACTTTTTCTGTGTCTGAGGATGGAGAGCACTCCCATTTGCTTGATGAATTGGATCACTGTGCTATGCCTACGGTCACACCCATACATGTTATTTCTCACTAGGTACACGAGCCTGTCGTGTATCCCTCTATGCCTCTCGTTTTGCAGGATCCCCCTCTCACGGCCTTCGCCGCCACTCCCTTCAACCTCACCGCCAAACAAAAAGATCAAAGAGAGTTGTGGCCGAAGCCGCAGATGGCTAAGCCTGCTCGGAAGAAAGGTGGAGACCACTATGAGCTGGTCCCACCTCCTGCACCACGACCACCCTGGCCATCCGAGTACTCACTCGCTTGGATCCTGCCAGATGGCCAGGTCGAGCTGACAAATGCTGGTGGTTGCACCTGTTGGGTGCATGGCCACCATCTGAAGCTGTACCTCAAGAGTGATGTGGATCCGCTCTTGGAGGCATTTGTTCCTACACCCCTCTGAGTATCCACCATGGATATCCAGCTAAAAGACGATAAAGAAGCACTTGTGTGGAGGCAACCCCACCACGGTTTGCATTTCTTTCCCCTTTTTCAGTGTTTTTTGTGTCGGGTCTTGTGTTTTGGTTTCTTTTCTTTTGGATGATGTATTATTGGGCTGACCATTGGACCTAACGTATTATGTTTGAGTTCTTCTGTTCCCTTTAGCTTTGCCTTTGCACCGACTGGTCCCATTTCCAGTCCTCTTCACTCAGACTGGTCCCCTTCCAGTCTCATGCAGTCTGTGCACACCGGTAACATCGTTCCCCTTATCCTTCCCTCTTCTCCATTGAGGGCAATGTCGAACTTAAGTGTGGGCGGGATGTTTCTCTTTTGACTGCATTAGATCTGTTTGTGTGCTTGGAGCCTAGTCCACTATCCAAATTTCGATTTGAGGGCTCCAAGTACGTGTTTCCTTGCAAATTGCCTGCTCAGTATGCTTTGAATTGACAGTCTCTATAGTAATGTGCAACCTAGGGAGGTAGTGTAGCACTATGGAGGATGTTGAAGTATAAGTTTTTCCTATCTAGCTCTCTTGTGTGCCAGTTGATTTTGTGAATTAGTGGAGCTAAGACCGTTGAATTCATGTGGTAATGGTGACTCTTATTGGATTGTGTTATGGACTCGTGTATTGAACAAGGTGCTCATGTGGGAAATGAAAAGCAGTTGGTCCTCCATGTCGAAATCATTGAAATCTTAAACATGGGGTAATCCCAACGTGTGTGGCACCGTTCATTGCACAAAATCGGGTTTTGGAAGAGATTTTAGTGATCCTTAGTGGGGTACTCCTACAAGGTGAAGCTAAGCTGTCTCTAGTACAAGTAAAATTTTCACCCGTTGAACGGTTTGCCTACTTGAGGATGTGTTTTTAAGGGCCGGATAGAGCTTCCAACCCCCCTTATTTTCATTAACCCTCCACATGAGTTGAGGAAAAAGAGTTAAAAGAAGTACTCTGGCGAGCGCCAGATGTACAGAAATTGCTCTTGCTCGACTAATAAGGGTCGACCGTGCAAAAGACTGCAGTTGGAACCCCGCTAAGTGAATGAAAAAAAAAAAGAAATGTAAAATGAAAGTGCAAAAAGGGGTTCGAACGGTGAAATGAAGTGAAAGAGCACCTCGGTACAATGAATCCTTGGTTGTGAATGGTGTGAGTCCCTTTATCCATGAACTGGCTGTCTTATTTCTACTTCTTCTCATGATCCTGGCTTGAGTCTAGTACTCGCATTGAGAGAGATAGGGGACGTCTAAGAAGACCAGTTGACCTCTTAAGCTGCTATATGATCTAGGAAATCCTCTACCAACGATCGGGGTTGTTTGTTGCTATAGAGGTCTGGAGAGTTGCATTGGTTTGAGTTAGGTTTGCTTAGGGACAAGCAAACGGTTAAGTGTGGGGAGTTTGATAGACCATTGATTGCACATGTTTTTACCCCTATTCTTGAGCCATTTGAGATGTTGATTCTCGTGTTTTAGGTCGATTTCACGCTAGGTTGTTCTTGTTTGTGATATTTCAGGTCCAAGTACGTGAATGAAGGTTTGGGAATGAATTCGGGGTCGATTGGACGAAGTTGGGACGTTTGACAAAAAACTGGGAATTCCACACGGGCACGCCTAAAATTCCACACGGCCATGTGACTTGGCCGTGTGGCACCACGTTGCACGCGAAATTCACACTGGCCGTGTATGGGACCCCTTGTGGCCGTGTGGAAAGTCCAGGGAGCTCACACGGCCAGACTGGAAATCCACACGGCGGTGTGGTTTTGGCCGTGTAGCGTAACTGAAGCCACTTAAGTGAAATGCGGCGTTTTGCATTTTCACACGGGCAGCTGGGGATTTCACATGGCCGTGTGGTCGGGAAATTCTGGGTTTTTAACCCAATTTCAAGCCAATGGATGAGGGAGCCGAGTTTTAGAGAGAAAAAGCGTATACCTAGAGAGAGAAAGTAATGAACCTGATTCTTCAAGTGCCTTAGATCGATCTCCATCACCATTGGAGCCCGGCTTGAGCTTTGAGAATAGCTTAGTGAGTGCCAGAAGCAAAATCTCATCCTTCACAGTATGGTTTCCGCATCTGAGCTAGATTTCCCGTCTCTCTCTATGGAGTAACTTTCTCTTTCATCTGGGTATGAAGAACCCTAGATTTGTATGTTAGGTCTGATTGTATGAACCCAAGTACGAATTCAGTGATATGATTATATTCAGTTGAGGTTTGATTTCTTGAATGGCATGAATCGTGATCAAATTCCTGTTGTTTCTGCTTTAACCTAGAAAGAGAATATCTACCAAGGTTGATAGAGCACCCTTGATTGAAGGTAGTGAATTGACGACTTTAGTCGAGGAGTCTATTCACTATTCAGTACCGTATTTACTTCGGTAGTGGATGTTTGGTTCGTTAGGGCCTCAATCTGTTTACTCCGGTGGAGGTTAGTCGCCCGCTGGGGACTCAGATTGAGAGGTCTGGAGACTTTTAGTCGAGAGTGCAGACTGTTTAAGAACCTCCCGCAGTATAACTATCATTGAAATTGAACTTGGTAAATTACGATCCGCCTTAACTACAGTCTAGAGGGAACCATATCCGGGTGACCTCTCTCAACTTGAAAACAACCTTTAACTGCTTTGCTTGTTTGCTAGTTTGGACCTTCACTACACTTTCATCGCTAAATAATAAGAACTCACGGAGTAGTCATCACACTTAGGACTCGGGTTGACATTAAAACCCAAACTCGCTATACTACGCTTTAGGAGGTGGTTACACTTGTACATTTTCTAGAGTGATGGTAGGAGCGAGTCAAAGGTCCGCCCCTTGAGCATCAAAATAATGGAAACAAACCCAAGCACAGGGAGAAGTCTACCCAAATCAAGCAATCTGATTTTCCCTTGAATCAAACAGAACCCCTTATAGAAATAGAACATGCAAAATATGAACCTAAGCTTCACTGAATTTGAAACCCTATGAGAAATAGAAAAAATCTAGATCAACCCACAACTTAACTACATGCAGAACTACCAATTGATTTCTAAAGATTCAACATCGCAAGCCCAAACGAGCAACACACGTAGGTCCTCTCTTCCCTCTTCGTAGACGAACTTCCCGCTTCGTCTTCCGACTTTACCCTCTATCAAATGAGGTCTCGCCAAGAGAAAGAAACAATAAACCTTCCCTTTCATCATCGTTGTTACAGGAAAGAAAAAGAGGACATAGAAGAGAAGGGAGAATTTTTTTGGCAGATTGTTGCCAAGAGACCAAAAGGAAAAAGAAGAAGAGAAGAGGAAGAGTTCCTAATTGTAGAGGAAGGAAAGAAGATGAGAAAAAAAGGAAAGAGAAGAAGCAAGGAGGAAGGGTTCCTCGTTGCAGAGGAAGGCAAGAAGATGGTGGGGTTTATTTATGGGGAGAGAGAAAGAGAAAAAGAAAGGGTAACACTTGGAAAGAGAGAATAAAAACGAGCCAATCAAGATTACCTCCCCCACCCAAGTATTCTTAATTGACCCATAATGGTGCAATTTCAATTTTTCACAGCCCAAATTGTTTCGTTTCAATTTTGTGGAGCAAAATAGGTCAATTTGGCTCAATTGTCTCATTTTGAGTCAATTGGACCAAATTACCTCATAAAAAGACCCATCCAAACGCCTCTAAGGGAATTTTTGAAGGAGAAAAAAAGGAAGGTGTTTACTTAAGGAAATAAGAATTAATGTTTGTAATTTTTTTAGACTTCTTTTATTTATATTTAATTTCTTTTATTTGATAATATAACTTCAATTAAATTCATTTTATTTAAAATTTAACTTTATCATCTTGAAGTTGTATGTAAACAAAAACTAGACCGATATATTATTGAAATGAAAATGTGTTCTTGAATTACAAAAAAAATTGTCACCAATTGAATTACAAAGCATCCCAACATCGATACCAAGCAACAAAAATGACTAATTATTTCCATGCAAGTTCCAAATATGCTCGACCAAGTCCCAACGAAGCCCATGATGTATTGGTGCTGCACGAAGCCTATTATTCCTAGCCAAGTATTCAGTTAGGGTTGGAATATCTATGTCGACATTTAGTTGGTTGTTGGTCATGTACCTCATAATCTAGATTATCTTCCATCTCATCGTAAGAATCAACCTGCTCATCCTCGATTATCATGTTGTGCAATATAATGCATGTCAACATTATATCATTAATTGTGGTAACATCCCAAGATCTCACAGGGCCACGAACGATTGTCCATCTAGCTTGAAGAATTCGAAAGGCCCTCTTTACGTCTTTTCGATGTGCTTCTTGACATCGAGCAAACAAGGCTTCTTTGTTTGAGCTTGGATTGCTGAATGTTTTCACTAAAGTTGACCACGAAGGATAAATACCATCAGCCCAATAATAACATTGATAATAGGTATGACCGTTTACCTCAAATTGTACTTATAGAGAGGTTCCGTTGAGGATACAGTCAAACACTGGAGGCATCCTCAAAACATTGATGTCGTTATTCGACCCAGGCGGGCCGAAGAAAGCATGCCATATCCAGGTGTTGTATGAAGCCACTGCCTCGAGAATGATTGTTGGTTTACGGTTGTGCCCCAGGTACTACCCAGTCTGAGAAGTAGGACAGTTCCTCCACTCCCAGTGCATGCAATAAATTGATCCAATCATACCAGGGAATCCACGTTGAATCCTTACATCAGCAGGAGTTGGTGCACGGAGGTATGTCAATGAGTACATCCCGACAATGGCTCTGCAAAACTTCCTGAAAAATTCCAGCACAATGTTCTGACCCATACGCATGTAGTCATCAAGTTGATCAGCTAAAGAGCCATAAGCTAGCATGCGCAGTGCACTAGTAAGCTTTTGCTCCGGCGATAGGCCTAGGTGACCAACGACATCACTCCTTCGTGCAAAAGAGGGATCATACCTCACAATGACACCCATTATGCAATTGAATAGTCGTAGTTGCATACGAAAACGCCTTCTGAATATGAGGGCATCGTTTGTTGGATTTGGATTGAACTAATCCTGCATGAGACGGTCATGACCTGAGACCCTTTCACGATCAATGCAGGTGCGACTTGTTGAACAACGACGTGAGGATGAAGCTTCCTCAAGCATCCGCTCGATTAAAGCCAACCGGTGATAGTTAAACAGATTCAACTCTTCTATCTCTTCTTCTCCTCCAGACGATGATTAATCTGAGGAACTCATGATGGATGTGTTTAGTTTAGAACTGGGAGGAAGTTTCAGACAAGTATAAAATTGATGGCAAATGGGGGATTTGCATTTATACTCAAAATTTTCTGACCTAACGATCATATCCAAACATATGCTACCTACCAACCTTACCTAACGGTCATATTAGAACATGTGCTACCTACCAACCTTACCTAAAGGTCATATTCAAACATGCGCTACCTACCAACCTTACCTAACGGTCATATTGAAACAACCTTACCTACCAACCTTATCTGACGGTCATATCCAAACAGTCATAACCTAACGGTCATAAATTCTCTATATATTCAGACATCCTCTCCTCTCTCTCTACCATTCATTCTTACTGAATTGAAATTTTCTGTTAGTCTCATCATTCTTTCTATCATCTTTGTCTCTCTAAAAACCAAACAATGACAAGCAAGAGAAAAGGGAATTAGAAAGTGGAGGAACATAAGAACTTGTGCAGTTCTTGGGTGACGATATCAGAAGATGAAGTTGTGGGCGTCAATCAAATGGATAAAAAGTTATGGGATAGAGTGGCGGCGCAATTTTGATCGAACGATCGAAACACATCTCGTACTATCAAAAGCATATCTAATCGAATGGGCACAATCACCAAATACTGCAAGTGTTGGAATTCAGCTATCCAAAGGGTAGAGGAATCAACCAAGTAGCACGAATCAAATGGATGTGGTATGAATTCTCCATCACCATCACTATTATTTTCTAACTCGTTCATTAGTACGTGTGTTCTATTTTCTAACTCCTTTTCCATCTCATTCATTCATTAATTCATACGTATAGGAGCATATGGCAGAACAGCTATATTTAAGTGAGGCCGAAGAAAAGGGTTGGAATTTTGGTCATTGTTGTTGGATCTTGAAAAGATGCCAAAAATTTCATATCGTGATAACAATGTCGTCTTCAAATCAAAGCCGCATGAGTCAAGGTTCTAATGGTTCTTTCATGGGTCTTGGTTATCAATCAACACCACAGACAGACCTCAATGACACAGAAGGAGACGAAGAAACTCCACCATTCGTCGGAGAAACTCCACCCTTCGTCGGAGAAACTCCACCTTTCTTTATATCTCGCCCTACTGGACGCGGCATACAGAAGGCGGCTAAGCAGAAAGGAAAGGGGACTACTGAGTCATCAGAGAGCTACACTGCTCAAATGATGGAGTATGGAAGTGAGTTGAAGGAGAGAAATGCTTCGAGGGATGAGTATGAGCGAAGAAGGATGGAATTCCAAGAACAAAAATCAAAGCGTGATCAAGAAAAGTGGGAACTTGAGAAAAAAGGGAGGGAAGCAACACTATTTCAGAACAACTTTGATCTTCTTGAAAAGGACTTGTCGAAGTTGACACCAAAAAAGAGGAAGTTTTACAAAAGTCATCAAAACATGCTCCTAGGCTATGATCAAGATGATCCCAACTCTATTCCCGACTATTCATCCAACGCAAGTCAAACAGGAGGTGGAGATGGAAGTGGAGGAGGAGATGAAGGTAGAGGAGTAGATTACGGGAATTACTATTCTCTTCTGGGCGATTATTGACATGTTATGTGTTTCCTTTTTATCATTTCAAGTGTTGTGTGTTATTTTTAAGCTTTATCTTTTTCAAGTGTTGTATGTAATATTTAAGCTTTATCATTAGCAAGTGTTGTGTGTAACCTATGAATTGTACCATTTGAATTATTATTATGTCAACTCCTTTAGCTTTATCATTTTTCAAGTGTTGTGTGTAAACCCAAATTAGTTCCATAATTGTTCGTCGAAAAAAATTCGGTCTCGGAATTTAACAAAATTCTATCGAAAAATTTGTATTTAAAAATGATGAGGAACTATACAAAAATTAACATGAACAAATTATATTAAGTCTTCGATAATTACATTTTAAGTTAATGGAAAACTGGAAAAATTAAGATCCACAAATATGGAGATTGAAGCATTGGAGCAAAAGAAGGGAAAATGAAGACCAATCTCCAAATTTAAGGATGAAGGCCCCCAAATTTGGGGTTTTGCATTGGACTTGGCCTAAGAGAAGAAGGAGGTAAAAGAGTGGGGCCTAGGATAAAATTGGACATCGCTTGAAATTGGACTAAAAAATTTTTGAGTGGGCAAGCCTGAAATGATTGGGCTGGCGCTAGGAAAGTTCCAAAAGAAGAAAAATTGGGTGGGACCCTCTCTCTTGTTTTATTCACATTTCATATACTAAAATACTGATTTTTTATAGAATCAAATATTGACTTCAAGTTAATGGATTCGTATTTTTTAAAGTAATTAAAAGTGAAATGTGAATATAAGAGGTAATAGCTATAGTGGCAAATACTAACATCTATAGAGGCAAAACAAAATTTATTATTCATATTAAAGCATTTGAAGTTGCAAACTTAAGAGCTATAGAGGCAAATTATATATTTGTATTGTCTTTCATAATTTTAGAGGCACATAATTGTATCTTTTGAGGCAAATAGTATAATTGTTATCTATCTCATACTTTTAGAAGCACATAATTGAACCTGGTGAGGAAATTATATATTTGTAGTATATCACAACTTTTAGAAGCACATAATTGAACCTATTGAGGCAAATTTTATATCTATTGCATATGATATCCGTTTAGAGACAAATACAATATTTGCCTCAACAATAAGTCGCTATATGTGGGTTTTGTTGTGGTGGATAGTTCTCCTTAATAATTCCATGCACGATCATTTTAAATAATCGGTAAGAGCTAGCTTGCCAAACTTAACATAGTTCTTGTCTTCAGTGGCGGACTTAGTAAACGGCAGGGTGTGTCATGCGACAAACCCTCGCCGGGAAATTTTGTGAAGCACCTACATATTTTTTGTACAAATTTTTTTTAATTCGGGACTTCCGACACACCTTAAATAATTGTGAGTGACACACCTTCATTATACTAGAATGATTTTTTTTGTTATCAAGTTATTTATCTTAATTAGTAATACACAATAATAAGTAAAATCAAATAAGTATGCTTGTTTTAGAGTAACCCACACCACAACCTAGGGATGGCAATGGGGTGGGTTTGACAAGTTACAATACACTCCTTATATTTTATGTATATAACATAATATCATTGGTGCCTTATTTCATGGTATTTACCTCTTTCTTATTCTTAAGCAAGTCCCCGAGAGGGCATAAATGATCCATGATTTATGTTTCATCTTTTGTTTCCTTTTCGTTTGCTTCGAGAAATATAGAGATCAATTCCGATTCTTTCTTTTTCTATCGATTCTTTTCTGATGGCGGGTTTGGGTATGGGTATGGGGCGGAAGAGTCAAAAACCATACTCGCCCTATACCCATCAACCTTTTTGGGGGTTTTATACATACCCGCCCCATACCCGTGACCATGAGTTTGGTTGTCATCCCTACCACAATCCATAAATAGAAAAAATAAAGATAACCCCGTCCTTTGAAACTCACCGTTGCCACCCCATAAACCTTCCTCTATTGAAAATGAAAAATGAAATATAAAACCCACCTTACCCCGTTTTAGTTTCTAACTCACCATGCAAAAATGCATTATTGGGGGAGGACCCTCCCCCTCGGTTCACGTCAAAGCCCAGAGAAAGCCCATCGCGGCAGCATAAGACACGACAAAAAAGTCGAGAGCCACTACCACATCTCTCTTTTCTTTTATCCTTTAGTTTTACTTGCTTTTGGAAGTTGGTGTTGACTTTACATGTTGCAATTGAAAGCTGTGAAAGATTTCAGCTATGAAGATAATCAAGAATGAACTTCGAAATCGGTTGAGTGACCAATTTATGAATCATTGTTTAGTTGTATATGTCGAAAAGGATTTGCTTCGCAACATAAGCAATGAAAAGTCGTTGTGGTTCGTTGTGAACTTTATGAATAAATTTTTAGTAATTTCTATTTAATTTTACTAATTTTTAGTAATTTTTTAATTTTTATTTTATTTTATCAGCGACATACCTCTCCGACAATTCTGAGTTTGCCACTACTTGTCTTCTTAATATGTAAACAATATAAACAAATCAGTTCCATTTATTAGCGTTTCCTTATGGGAATAATCTCAGTAATTTGGAAAAGAAGTATTTTGTGGAAGACAATCATTGAAGACAGTGGGTTGATCCCTGCCGCAATCGTATTCTCCTGCTGTTGCACTGTCGATGAAATATTTGAAGACAATTTAGTAGACACAAGATTCATTTTATTCTTAAAATGCATTTTTGAGGGTTAAAGACACATTTGGTCATTGAGATTACTAAATCGGGACATGTTTAGTCACTAGAAAAAATTAATATCAAATTTTGTCACTGACTCACTCCTACTGTCACCCTAGAAAATGGCCAAGTGTAACCACTTCCTAGAGCGTAGTATAGCGGGTTTGGGTTTTATTGTCAACCCGGGTCCTAGATGTGATGACTACTCAGTGAATTCTTATTATCTAGCACTTAAACAGTCTGAAGTTTCGACTAAAGGTCTCCAGACCCTCTCAATCTGAGTCCCCAGTGGGCGACTAACCTCCACCGGAGTAAACAGATTGAGGCCCTAACGAACCAAACCTCCACTACCGAAGTAAATTCGGTACAGAATAGTGAATTGGCTCCTCGACTAAAGTCGCCAATTTACTACCTTCAATTAAGTGTGCTCTATCAACCTAGGCAGATATTCTCTTTCTAGGCTAAAGCAGAAATAACAGGAATTTGATCAGGATTCAAGTCATTCAATCATTCAAGCCTCAATTGAATATAATCAAATCATAGAATCTGTACTTGGGTTCATACAATTAGACCCAACACACAAATCTAGGGTTCTCCATACCCAAATGAATGGGAAAACTACTCCATGGAGAGAGAAGCAAAAGCAGATTCGGATGCAAAAACCATACTGTGAAGGATGGGTTTCTGCTCCTGCTCGTCAATCGGCACTTCTCCAAGTGTAAGCCGAGCTCCAATGGTGATGAAGATCATGCTAGGGCACTTGGGAACTCTGGTTCGTCGCTCTCTCTCTAGGAATCGCTTTCTTTCTCTAAAACTCGGAACACCCTTCTCCTCTGCTGAAAATTGGCTTAAAACCAGAAAATCCTGACTCACACGGCCAGGCCACACGGCCGTGTGACATCCCCAGCTGCCCGTGTGAGTTGTGCAAACCGCTGCGTTTTGATAAGTGGATTCAGGCTTCTTACACGGCCACGACCCACACGGCCGTGAGGCTTCCCAGGGTGACCGTGTGAGTTCCCTGGAATTTTCACACGGCCATCAGGGGTCCCCTACACGGCCGTGTGGCTTTTAGGCATGCCCGTGTGGCTTCTCAGCTTCTCGCCAAACGTCCAAACTTCGTCCAATCGAATCCGAACTTGTTCCTAAACCTTCATTCACGTACTAGGACCTGAAATATCACAAACAAGAAGAATCTAGCATGAAATCGGCCTAAAACGCGAGAATCGACATCTCAAACGGCTCAAGGATAGGGGTAAAAACATGTGTAATCAATGGTCTACCAGTCACTATAATTACTAAAACAGGACACATTTAGTCACTCGCCGTTAGTTGCCGTCCAACTCCATTAAAATAGTTCGTTATGTGCAGACGTGGCTCACGCGAGCGCCTAGTCTGTGCCGTTTTGGGCCGGAAATGTTCAAACACGACCCGCCACGTCACTAAACCCGCCAGGTAATTAACCCAATCCATTAACCCAACCCGACCCAGAAATAAACCCTAACCCACCTAACCAAACCCTTTATCTTCTTTATATGGCTTTCTATTCAAAAGAAGCCTTTCAATCTTTCATTCACGCTCACATCCCTTCGTTTCCTTCTCGTTCCGCAGTGCTCAGTTATCCGTTCTCTACTAATGGCGGGACACTTCTGCTTTTGTGGAGATTCAACAGTTTTGAAGACCAGCTGGACTGATGGCAATCCAGGCAGGAGGTTCTTCGGGTGCAGCAAGTACGGGGTAAGTTTTCCTTACCTTCAATTCAACTGTACTTTCACCATTGGACTGTCCTTTTCCTTCACCCTTCTTTCTTTTCTGTGCGATTTGTAGACAAATGGGGCTTGTAATTACTTCAGATGGCATGACCCAGTACTTGACGAGCATATGAAATTTATGGTGCTGAACTTTCATCGTCGAATCCGGGAGCAAGAGAATAGGCAAAATGGGAAAGGGGCCAAATCTAATGGCAAAATATTGTCCATCTTCTTTGTGTTTGCTCTTGTATTCTTTTGCATTTGGACCGGAAAGTAAGCAGCTCTTTGCTGAATCTTACTAGCTATACTCGAAGGTTCTCTGTATTGTAGACTGTGTAACCCTAAAAAAATGACATTTCACGTTTGGTGCCTGAAATTGCAATGTAGATGCATGTTTTGTCACTTGAAAAGCTAAGAAAAGAACAATTCATACTTTTATAGCAATTCATGGCTAATGTCAGTCACTCGGAAAAGCAATTATTAGTCACATTTGGTCACTGGAAAACATATTTATGTCACTCGAAAAACAAATCAGGTCCATATTTGGTCCCTCGAAAAACAATGCAGGGTCACATTTGGTCATTGGAAAACAGTTGTAGGGTCACATTTGGTCACTAGAAAAGGCAACTCAGGACCACATTTGGTCACTGGCAGTGTTCTGTATTTTTCACAACTTGGACAATTGGTTACATAAGATAGTTAGTGATAAATAAAGCCTTAAAGGCTTCATTGTCCAAAAGAGCCATGTACCATGCATGTCCTAACAACCACTACGATAGCTAAACGACAAGTCAAGTTATAAATTGGCAAAATAGCAAGTCTGCAATGGCTTGCAATACCCATTAAAGGCTGCAATGTTCAAAAGAGCCATTCACCATGACCTAACCTAACCCTACTGTAGATAAATTTAGTCTTCGCAGCTGCTCTGCTTTTGTCATCCGGTTTGCAATCTGTGAGATTTGGGAGACTTGACTTGCTTGACTTGGAACCTCACAGTTTGGCCTCCATGTACTTACCTACAAATTAAGATGGTGTTAGTATGTTGGATGGAATGGATTAAGGTAAAAGGAACATCCACTAGAATGAAATCATACATATGTCATGAGTTGCACTACATGGGCCTGACTACTCGATGAAGAAGCATAAGCTTTTAAAGCTCTTTGTTGTAGCTTCTGTAATGATGCAACTCTGTTTCTCTAAGCTTGTTCAAGTTGTTGCCTCCTCTTTGCTTCTTCGTTCTCTTTCTTCTTCTTCTCTTGTACCTTAATTTTTCTTGCTTCATCGTGGAAGGTTTTGTTGTGCCCTAGTAGACCACATTCTGTACACTTGTACTGTTTTTTTTTCCAGGTTTTGCTTTGTCCCTTCCATCCTTCTTGTGTCTCTTCTTGGTTTTTTCAGCCTCCTTGAGCCCCTTTCTTCTTTGTTTCTTTGGCCTCCCTCTCTTTTTCGATTCTTGAGGAGGAGGAACACCAACATCTCCCAACTCGGAAACTGGCCAATTGTCCGTACCAGTAGTAGGCAAAATGGAGTATCTATAAATCGGTGCAGTAGTCTCCTTGGTGTAGCAACCAACAACATAGTCTTGCACATGCAGGTTTGCCGTATGAATGGCTTGAATAGCATGCTGGCAAGGAATACCAGTCAAGTCCCATTTTCTGCAAGTGCAAGTCTGATCTTTCAAAATCCACAACAACCTGCTTGTCGTGCCACCTTACTTCAAAATGTCGTCTCCCATTAGACACAGCAACCCACTTCACAGCCTCTCCCATCAACATTGAAAAATTTGTCTCAATATTTGGACAATAAGGACCAGCCCACTTGTCCACATCCTGTTGTCGTCGGGTGTATAAAACCATCAGATTCCTCCAGATACCCTCCCACATGCTCTGATTGGACGCAAATCTCTCTCTTCTAGTATCACATTATTCCAACTCCCAACAATATTCCTGGTGTGTATCCAGGAATTGGTGAAAGTCTGATAATGTGATCTGCACCAATGGAAGGAATTTTGGACCAGCCAATCATAGGCGGGTTTGCTATACTCAGCCAATGATTGAATCACATGTCGAAACTCAGACACTGTAGTCACCCTAACGGCTGTCCAAAACAAGTCCTTGAGCAGTTTGGAGCCTCCACAAGCCCCCTTCAGATTCGTCCACAGGTGTCTTGCACAATGGCGCTTCTCACAGTAGGGGAACAACTGGTCAAGGGTTGGAACGAGACCCTAAACACAACAAAAATGGGTTAACATTTATCGTTTGACTAATTGCAAAAGAAAGGAAACTGAATGTGGTTTACCTTCTGCTTATCTAACATGAATAAACATCTAGGATTGTATTCTATATTCATATCAACAACAAGTAGCTCAATAAACCACTCCCAATTTTCCTTGCTTCCACTCCGACATGAGAAAACGCAATAGGATAATACTGCTCATTATCATCCAAACCCACTGCTGAGAGAAGTTGCCCTCCAAATTCATGCTTCAAGAAGCAACCATCGATGCACAATACTTTCCTATATCTAGCCTTGAACCCTTGCTTGGATGCATCGAAACAAACGTACATTCGGTTAAAACATTGAGCTCTCTGCTCAATGATAACCGTTGAGTTCGGGTTGCTCCTTCTCAACTGCTCGGCATAATGATACAAGCATTTGTATTGCTCCTTCAAGTTGCCACGAACATGCTCGATGGCTGCCTTCTTTATTCGGTAAGCCTTCTTGTCTCTCGCATCTTCTTTGTAGTCTTCTTTGATTATGTTTTTTACCAAGGCCTTGCTCATGGTCAGATCAGCAGCCACCTTTCTAGCTAGTTTTGCCCCTAGAAACTTTGTAGTTGCAAACTTGACTTTGAAAGTCTTTTGACAATCAGATGTGTCGTGAAGCTCAGAAGCTAGCTCGACTTGGTGGCTTGTTGAGCTAAACTCGTGAGCTGGCTCGTTTAGAGCTCATGATATGTCTTAACATGTGGCTAGAGAACCACATGTTAATCTGGACAGAATCTTCTGAACTCAATCTGCGAAGACCAAATGTACCAGTCGCATGGGGATTCACACACTGCTTGCATATGGATCTTGTCATGCTTCTTGAATTTAATTGGCCTCTTCTCATAAAGCATGCTGCTTTATTGCTTCTTTCAGAACTACAAAGCTGCTGAATTTTTGGGAAGCAACAAAAGTAGGTGCCTCCATGTCTCGATCAACCCGAAACTCCTCAACTTGGTACCCATCATCCGAATCTGAACTTACTATACTCCTGCGGTCATCAGAGTTCACATACTCAACTTCTTCTTCAACTACTTCAAGCTGTCCATTTCCAATTTTAAAGCCACCCATGTCAGCTTCCACATCTTGATTTACATATTCTTCAAACTGATCATTGTCACCATCACTAAGATCTTCTTCTTCAGAACATACATAATCGTTGTCTTCGTCCTCATCATAGTCCATATCCACTTCACACTAAACTTCAAAGCCCTTTCTCACTTCCTCCAACCCAGCCTTCATGAAATCTTCAATGTCATTGTTGGAGATAGCATACAGTTCAATTACTCTTTCACCTCCATTAGCTACAGTTGACATGCCTAGAATGTCTTCGTCATTAGTAATCTCTAACATTGAACTATTGCAAGGAGATTTCCAAAAGAATTTTGGATCCTTAACCCTCCCACCACATGCCTGGTATATTTCAGGCAAATCCAACACTGATAGCTCATCAATGTCGGCATAGTCCCAAAATTCAGTTTCCTTCTCATTGAGAAAATGCTTGTCACTCTTCTTCTTTAATTCAAGTGACACATGCACTGCAAAAGTGAATTCCCCACTGCAACCACATGTTATGAAGAAAAAAATAGCAAAATGCAAGTATGTGCTCACCATAAAGGCTACTTGTAATAAAAGAAACAAAAATGTTTGGTCGTCCCCACAAGAATATGCATTTTTCTATTCCAAAACGGCAATCAAGTGTTGTCTTTATCTATAATAAAGTCTAACTGTGAAATGGTATACCCCAAGAATGCTCTTTACATAAAGACAAGAGAGAAAACTCATAAAAGCAAAGACAAAAGGTCAATCAACTACTGCTAGTCTTGGTCATCCCCACAAAACCTGCATTTTCTATTCCCAAACGACAACAAAGTTGTCCTTGTCGAACTTTATGATACAACCACTGCTGTCTACCATAAAGACAAGGGTCAAAACAAAGGTAAACTTAGATAATGGGGCTGAATAGCATCTGGTGCCCGCACATGCCCTACCATAGTTCTCGCATGGAATGGTGAGCTAGGAAACAAACAGGAAAGTCCAATTTTCAGTATAAAACAACCCCAACAGAGAGTCCCAAAACCAAACTTGCAACCACTTCTTCACTTTCATCTGTCCCTTCCTCTTTTCCAGACTCTTCAGACTACCTTATAACCAGAAAAGAGCAAAGTAACAACTTACATTTACAATAGGGGATAAGAGAGTAGCAACTGACGCGATGGGGGAATTGATTTAGGGTTTCTTCCACTGTTGCGATTGAGGAAGCTGACGCTGGCGCGCGACTAAGAAGAAGAAGAAGTACAACGCGAATCAAGGAGAATCTGAAGGTCTTGTTGTCTGCTGCGGTGGGTGAAACTGACTACGATGGGGGAAACACCCGACTTCGAAGAAGACTTCAACGCGACTTCGAAGGAGGTTGCTGGGACAAAGGGGTCAAGGGGGTAGTGATAATGGCTCCATCTCTCCCTGCTCTCTACTCTCAGATTAGTGTGGTCGAAAATGGCGAAGGGCAATAGCTCTCGAGGAAGGAGAAGGGTTTTCGGGTCTACAAATTGAAACTGTTCAATTTTTTTTAAGTAGGCTCTGGTCTGGTTCCGGGTCGGGTTGGGTTAATGGATTGGGTTGGTTTTATTACGTGGTGGGTCGGGTTTGATCATTTCCGGCCCAAAACGGCGCTGACTAGGCGCTCACGTTAGCCACGTCAGCACATAACCGACTCTTTTAACGGAGTTGGACGACAACTAACGGGGAGTGACTAAATGTGTCATGTTTTAGTAATTATAGTGACAAAATTTGATATTTTTTGTTTAGTGACTAAACATGTCCCGATTTAGTAATCTCAGTGACCAAATGTGTCTTTAACCCCATTTTTTGAAGACTATCTTGTGTCGATTTGTATACCACAATTGTTTTCTTGTTTATTTGTCCTTTAGATGGCGACATAATAATTAAGGTGGCATACTTTGGCTTGGGAACAGCAATGGAGGAGCGACAAGACACTACAAGAAAATTGACCTTTTTAGTGGCTAAATTATGGTGACAAATATTATAAGAGGAATTTTAGAATGATATATAGCATTGGTGTTATAGATTTTTGTTTTATGGTACAACTTAAAGTTGTACCTTTAACGTTATGGTACAACTTCATATAGTAATTATACTTTTTTGTACAAATTCTTTTATGGTACAACTTGAACTTGTACCTTTATGTGATGTTACAACTTCTAATTGTACACTTGTATCATAACATAAGAGTACAAATTTTTTTATGATACAACCTGAACTTATACATTGAATGTTATAGTGCAACTTCAAGTTATATATTAAAACATCAATTCTTTATAGCATAATAGAAATACTGATATTATAAATGTCTTTAAAAGTATCCTCTAGCAACAAATATGTAAACTGCCCCTAAAATTTAAATAACTTGAAATCACATATATAATGACATAAAAGATTTCTTTAACCAAAAACTAGAAGAATACATAGTAGCATGGGCAAGTAATTATAGTTTCTGCTTGTAACAGGTTTCACAAACCCGGAAACCTTATTGGATGCAGATAACTATAGAAAGTAGACCCTAAACACAACCACAGACAATAACAACAAAAGAAAGGATAGGAGAAAAATACAAGAAAGAAATATACAAAGCTAACATATCAATCTGAACAGGAGGAGAGTAGCAGACACACATCTACAGATATATAGAGATATAAAGAGTGAAATCAGCGAATCATCTTGTACCAAATGGAGCAATCGGCAAGCTCAATCCTAGCATCATGGGTGTGATCACAATTGTCGTTGAGTTTGTTCTTGGCAGTAACGAGACATGACCAACAATCCAGTTTCCAAAGCTGCCTATCACAAGTGGCGCCACCGATGACAGAGCCGTTATCACGATTGGGGTAGCTGTGGACGTAACTGTAATCATTATAATTCTTGTGTTTCACATTTTTCGTCTCGTCCACCAAAATATTGATGAGACGTTCCACACCTTTGTTGTACGCTATATCGTCTGATTTGCCAACGCAATCTGGTCCCCTGATAATGCTCTTTACTGGAAGTCTTGCGTCAACAACGAAGCTCAACATACCGAGAAGCAGAAAAGCTGCCATTGCCAACTTTGACCCCGAATCCATTTTTCTTCACTCTCTTTTGAAGCTCTAGATGTACAATCTCCTCCTCCCGAAGTGACCCTATTAGCTTCTTTGGTATGGTGTGTTTAGGGTGAGAAATCAATGCTGCATACCCACTCCTTATATAGCTCTTGTGGCTTCTCGATTGCTCCTCCCAAGCCAAAGTATGGCACCTTCTTAATTATTATGGCGCCAGCCAAAGGAGAAATAAAGAAGAAAACAAGCATGGTACAAATCGACACCATTAGTTTGTCTTAACAAAAATGCATTTTAAGAATATGAATCTTGCATTTTTAAACTGTTTTTAAAGATCTCGTCGACCTGCGCAAACAAGACATGCTATGCAACAACAGGAGAATGCAATTGCGGGAGCCGGGAGGGATCATTTTGCCGCGCGTACGGACTATCTCAATCCTAAAAAGGCCAACCCAACAATACTTCTTTTCCAACTTACTGAGATTGTTCCCAAGAGGGAACGCTTAATGAAACTGTTTTGTTTTTATTGTTTACATATGAAAAATTGAGAAGTTAGTTTTAGCAGGCTAGCTCTCACCGATTATATAAAATAATTATGCATGGAATTATTCAGGAGAACCATCACTGTCCAACTCCTTTTAACTTGTAGATACAGTTGATTGATTATTGTATATACCAATTATATAAATGGGATTTTTATTCAAGTTTTATCTCTTAGTTTTCTCATTACTCGGTTTCATCTGAGCAGGGAGGTCCGTTACCGTTAGTATAGGTGTCAGAACAGAATGCGGCCAGATTATCCCGTCGGCTAGTTTGACCCATAACCAAACTAACCAATTGGTTAATTCGATACATAGGCTGACCACAATCCGAGTTGTCTTAAAGTCAATGGCCAGATAAAATGGATTTCAATTTAAGTTTTGTCTCTTCGGTTCTCCTTGCTCGATTTCGTCAAATCAGAGAAGTATGTGAGTATAGGTGTAAATGACCCGCAACCTGTCCGACCCAAACCCAATTGGCATACAAAATGATTAATTCGAACATGATTGAACACGTAACCCTACGCGTAAACCGAGTGGAATAAAAGTCAATGACCCCCAACCCGTCCGTTTTGCAACCCAATTAACCAGTAACACAATTATTTTGAATGCGATTGAATCCATAACCCGACTAACCAGTAACCCGATTGAGCTCGAACTAACCCGTGATCCGATCAACCCAAGGAAAATCCGCCAAATTCACCCGAATAATTAATATAATATATTATATAATCTTGCAAAATGATGTTTTTGGTTTTAAATCTAGGCGAAGCCATTTTATTCATTTCCTAATTGTGAAGTTGAACATATAAAAATCACTTGAAATTGCGTTTTTGTATAAAATTTAAAAAGCTAAAATCTCAAATACGTTTAACATTAATTTCTTTATCAACTTGACAAAATAAAATTTTCAAAATATAAAATTAGCACAACATCAATATTGATAAGGAGTAATTAACAATTGACACATTGTAAAACATTAATATACTATATGTATATTAAAATATTATCGACCAAATATATATAGAGTAATATAATGGAGAAATTTTACAATGCTATATAGTATTAGTGCTATAGGTTTTTGTCTTTATGGTACAATTTAAAATTGTACATTTACGTTATGGTACAACTTCAGATTGTACCTATACTTTTTGTACAAATTCTTTTATGGTACAACTTGAACTTGTACCTTTATGTGATGGTACAACTTCTAGTTGTAAAGTTGTACCATAACATAATGATACAAATTGCTTTATGGTACAACCTAAACTTATACATTTAATGTTATGGTACAACTTTGAGTTGTACATTAAAGCACCAATGCCATATAGCATAGTAGAAGTGCTCAATATAATGTACTTGCTAATCTGATTAACTTAAGAGGATGAAATTTCTTGGCATTTTATCTTTTTGAGAAGATATATAAGTTGGAAATTGATACTTTCAATTTTTTGGAAGACCAAGAAGAAAAATATATTGGTGCTTTCAATTTTAATAGAAAAGAAAGAGGAAAATTTTGATGCATTTAATATTTCAAAAGAGAAAGAAGGGGGATATTTCATGTGTTCAAAAAATTTTATACGTTGGTTATTTTTTCCAAGATTCGAATCCATATTTTGGTGGATGTACTCATTCCCACATTATTGAGGTGAAAATCAGTGAGGCATGTAGAAAAAAATTGAGTCAGCATAAGGGTAGTTGACCAGATACGATAGAGATGAGATGCTAGGATTCTTGGTTGTGTGATGGCTGGAGAAGATCGAGGGCGACAAAGGTTCATGAGAAACGATAGGTTGGGGTTAGCGATTAGAAGTCTTCCCTGGTTTCTCTATTTAGGATTTTTGAGCGAAAGGGACGATTAAGTGGCGATTAGGAGTGGAGTCGATTGAGTGACTGTTAAGTTATGAGTTTATGATTGTGTATGGGCTAAAGTCCAGGAACACTTGTGTAATTATAGGCTTAGTTACGTAGGACAACTCTGGCCGAATCCCTTTTTCACCTCGGCTAGGGTTAGAGAACATATATATATATTGTAACCTGAATTTGCCTTGAAGCTAAGTGAATAGGAGTATTGAGAGCTTCGGCCGTGGACTAGTCTTGATCACACTGATCAAGGAAATCACGTAAATCTGTGTCTTCGTTTCTATTCTGCTTCTAGTTATTTGTTCCGTTCTGTTTCTCAACATGGTATCAGAGCTCACCGCTATGGATTCTGATCGGATTAATACGAAGCTGAACTCCAAGAATTATTCCCTATGGGAATTTCAGTTCAGGGTTTTTATTGAAGGCAAAGGATTTTCTGGGCTGCTCGATGGATCCTCCAAGAAGCCGATCTCTCCTCCAGCCGATGAACATGCCGTCTCGCGCTGGGAGCAGCAGGACGCTAAGGTTCGATCTCTGATCTTGAACTCGGTTGATCCGAGTATTATCTGGGTCTGCGCCTTCTCCCAACGGCAGCAGTGATGTGGAAGTCACTGGCCAAGACGTATTCCTCGACGTGCGCCAACCGCCAGTTCGAGTTGGAAGTCTCACTCGCCAATCTCTACCAGAGCGAACTCGATGTTGCTTCCTACTTCAATGAGGCGCGGTTGATCTGGACAGAGCAAGACTTGCTCTCGGCCTCTCTTCTTACCCATCCAGTACCAGCTGAAATTCAGGCGGAGAAGAACAAGATTCGTCTCCTTCAGTTCCTCATGCGTCTCAGGCCGGAGTTCGAATCCCTCTGCGCTACTCTGTTCAACCGAGATTCCATAAAGCTTGAGGGAGTCCTTGCTGATTTGGTTCGAGAAGAGACTAGGATTCGGACGCAGGCAGCAATTGATGTGCGTCCAGGACATTGAGACGCGGCTGTCTTCAGTGTTGCCCCTGACCGTGCTCGCTTCTTACCCAGCCAGTACCAGCTGAAATTCAGGCAGAGAAGAACAAGATTTGTCTCCTTCAGTTCCTGATGCGTCTCAGGCCGGAGTTTGAATCCCTCCGCGCTACTCTGCTCAACCGAGATTCCATAAAGCTTGAGGGAGTCCTTGCTGATTTGGTTCGAGAAGAGACTAGGATTCGGACGCAGGCAGCGATTGATGTGCGTCCAGGACATTGAGACGCGGCTGTCTTCAGTGCTGCCCCTGACGGTGCTCGCCCCAGCTCTCTCCCTTTGTCAGCAGGTTCTTCTCATAGTGCTGGAGGTGGGGAACTCTCCAAGGAGTCAAGTGACCAACTGGCCTTTGCGGCCTACCGCTCGCAGTCCTATCGCCGACCATTAGCTGAAGTTGAATGTCATCACTGTCATGACAAGGGTCATACAAAGAAATTTTGCCGAAAACGAAATTTTTGCGTATATTGTAAGAAGCGCGGACATATTATTTCTGATTGTGAGCTATTGCAGGAGCGAATGGCGGATGAAGACTCAATAGCCACTGAATTTCTTCAAATGATCAAGACTCAATTTGATAGAACTGTTCGTGTAGTCCGGTCTGACCCAGATGGTGAATTTAGTTCCACCCCATTGCTTAACCTGTATGCGTCTCTTGGAATTCTCACCCATAAATCTTGTCCGGCTGTTTCTCGGCAGAATGGTCTTGTTGAGCGCAAAAATCGACATGTTCTTGAGGTTACTCGTGCTCTCCTTCTAGCTTCTCACATCCCATCATATTTTTGGCCCGAAACTGTGTCTACTGCTGTTCATTTGATTAACTACCAGATCACTCCCGTCCTTGGTCAGTCGAGTCCTTATTTCCAGTTGTTCAACAAACCCCCTCCCTATTCTCGTCTTCGTGTCTTTGGTTGTCTTTGCTTTGTGTTGCTTCCTTGTTCTGAACGTACTAAATTGTCCTCTAAAACCGCTCGTTGCGTCTTTCTCGGCTATAGTGATGTCTCTAAGGGTTATCTTTGTTATGATCCAGCTCTTCGCCGCATTCGTAAGGCCTGCAACATGGTTTTTATGGAAAATCTTATGTTCTACTCTTCCTCTTCTCCTACCACTCCTTTGTTTGATACCTCCTTGAGTCTTCCATCCTTTTCCGACACTGATGATGATATTGATGATGGCTTTGACCCGCTGCCCCAGCCGACCCCGCCTCCCTCCCCCCTGTCGTCACAGCCACAGTCCCTGCTCCAGTCTCCATCCCCGCCTCCGCCCCCACCGCCACCAGTCCGCCGGTCTATGCGCGCCAACCGTGGGGTACCTCCTCCTCGTCATAATGATTTTATTGCCTATGGTGTTGATGCTCTTGCAGTTCCTACTCGGTACTCTCAGGCTAAGGATGATCCAAACTGGAACCAAGCTATGACCGAGGAGATTGTTGCCCTTCTTGCTAATCAGACCTGGGTTATTGTTTGTCGTCCTCCTGATCGCCCTGTTATCGGGTCTCGCTGGGTGTATGCTCTCAAATTTCTCCCTGATGGCACTCTGGAACGCCACAAGGCGCGGGTTGTTGCTCAAGGGTTCAGCCAAGAGTTTGGTGTTGACTTTGATGAGACATTTGCCCCGGTGGCGAAAATGGTCTCTGTTCAGACTCTCCTTGCCGTGGCAGCTGCTCGTCGTTGGCCTTTGTATCAGTTGGACGTCAAGAACGCCTTTCTTC